GGAAAATTGTACCACATGATCAAACACTAATTAGGAGAACGATTGTCTGGATCATTTCACTTCTACACTACTACTACGATTCAAATTTACTTTAACATATAATCAAAAATACCCTTAGGCCAACAAGCACCAAAGTCAAGCAAGATTATGAATCAGGAAAACTAACCTGGTTTTCTCTGAAAGTAGCACAATCAAACCAAAGATGACGAACATGAGAAGCATTCCAGCATGCTCAAAGTTATTCATATGAGTAGGATTCAAAACTCCATGAACGAGAAGTTTGAGGTGTGTCGAATAGAAGAGCTCAATACAGAAATCAATAAAACCTCCAATTGCTATCACATAAAGTTCCAAATATTTCAACTTCCCATCAAAACCCGGAACAGGGCTCCAAACCCTTACCCTGAATGACTTGGGATTCGATGAATATCTAACCAGTGCAGACCATATATGCCACATACCAATCACAAGAAACAGTGTCCCAGGAAGAACATGCCCAGGAAAAGAACCCATCTTTTCTTGCAACAACCAAGAAAAGATCTACCAAACAGTTTCAACACAATTCAAGATTTACCCAATTCTTGAAACTTCTTCAACACAATATCACCAAAAAGGAAAACACACACTTTTCTAATATACCCTGTTCTATGTAATTATGCTCTGTAAAAAACTAAAATTTAGCTTATCTAAAACAGATAAGCTAGAAAGATGAGCTCCTTGTACAGTTAACTTTCTGTGAGAATATATTCTTAAACAAACTGAATCAATCCCCACTTACCCAGAAACGATACTGCACAATCTTTGAAGAAAGCAAACTCGTTAACTACAACCTGTTCCATAGAAAAACAGCTGTTAAACTTAGTTGTGAGCAAACAATATTGGTCATTCACCAAACTACTCTTCCAAAGCAAATCAGAAATAAACTTTTTCAACGAAATAATTTCACAAAAAGCTGATTTTTTTGAATTGACAAAAGAGAATTCAGAAAAGTAGGGAATTCCGTGTATTCAAGGCCCACTAACGACAACTACATAAAAGTCAAAATAGTACTACCAGTGGCGGAACCAATATTTTCAAAAAAAATACAAAGAAGTAAACACCCGAAGAAGATACAGTAAAAATAATCCTAATCATATATATTCGAATAAACCCCTTGATCCTATCTACCTCCGCCTATTAACAGGCTTGAAAATGAAAGTAAGTAAAAAAATTCCACATTTCCACGACTGTAATTATCAAGATTTGAAAAACCCAATTTCAGATCTATAATTTATTAATCAATCGCAGCCCCAGTTAAGTAAACAACCCAAAAAAAAGGGAATTGCTAAAACCAAGAAGAGTTGAACAGCAAAAGGGTAGTTGCAGGTAAATGTAACGCACCTTTGTTTTTGTGAATGCCGAAAAAAAGAGTATAGTTTATCTTCTTGTTATTTGTGATGCAAGAAAAGCGAGGATAAAACTAAAAAGTAAAAGGAATGATGAAGAAAGTGGGGATCGGAGAAAGTTGAGATTGGGTCATAGAGAAGACAGAGGTGACGGCAATTATGGACGTATTATTGAATCTATTTTCATTTTATATTTGAACGGTCCCTTAGTTTTTTTCTCTTTCCTATCTATACAGAAAAAGGCTTTTTTTTTTTTTTTTTTTTTTTTATGAAATTCGCTTTTGTTAGAAAGTTTTTTATCTCCTATGTTCTAATGTGGAATATTATGGGCAACTTTTTTAAGCCGTATAAAGTTTATAATTTAAAAAATATCAATAGTAAAGTTAGTATAGTAAATATATTTTTAATAAACATTTTCTTAAGGATGGTATTAGGTTAATTTGGATCGAGTAAAATAACTCGAGGAAGTACATGTTAGACATGGATGAATGTTTTTGATTTATTGTTAATGATTTAATCAAATAGTTTAGATAATAAGATTTATAATAAAGTCTTAATATTACTAACTAAATATTTGTTAATTAAAGTATTTTTACAAAAATAATAATTTACCATTCTATTTACTTTCATAGTTAAAAAAACTACAGCTCGTTGTCACCTATCATTATTAATTATCAATAATTTAATCAATGTTGTCAATCATCAAAGTTATTCATAATCATCGTTAGCCATTATTCATAATTGTCATTATCTTCAATTACTGTCGATATCCATAACTATTGATTGACCATTATCATCCCCATTAGCTATTAAATACAACCATTACCAATAGACAATAATCAACATCATCTCCAATGTACATTTAAAATCATCATAGCTAGCCATTACCAATGGATGTATAATTTCTTAAAATTATTTTGATATAATATTAAATTGATTTATTATGTTATTTTAGTTCTTCTTAAGATTACTAGATGAGTGCTAGTTGGAAAGTGTGTGTCTTACAAATTTCACTTTTAAAAGTTTAAAAATTTCAATTCACCATGTTAGAGTTACCTAAAGGAAATATTCGAACATTAATAGTACCTGATATAGAAATTTCACTTGTAATTTTTTTGAATTTCAATATACTATGCTAGAATCTTTTCATATTTTAGTTAAAGTCATTTTTGTACAAATTTTATTTCCTCATTAAATATTGCTAAATAAGCACAATCTTTTAAACGATACATAAATATTGATAAGCGTCACGCGATTTAAAATGTCTTTTTACCCCATTTTTTTTTTAAAAAAATTTCGTATCACTTTCTGCCCACAAACAATTAGCTTTTACAAATTCAAGATGGGGACAATAATTTCGTTTAAAAATTAAAAAAAGACTAGAAAAAAAAAGTTAAAGAAGGAAAAAGACAAAAGTTGTATCATGATATGCACGTACTGTGTTATTGCAAGGAAAAGTTAAATTTTCTGACAAGAGAGAATATAATTAACTCATAAGCCAAAAGAAAACAAATTTAGATAAGAATTTAAACCCTTTTCATTTGTAAAGTCAAAAGTGCCTACTGGGATTAGCAAACACTTTGCAGAAACATTGATACTTTGGGTCCTCGCTAAGTAAAATCATGTGTCCCATTTTAAAGTAATTTGTTACCAATTTGGCATCATGGAATTGGCCACGCCAAAATTGGGACTCCGCGTCCTATTGTTGAGTTCCATCCACAATGTGATAGCTAGAAATTCACCAGTTGAAGAATGGCTCAAAATCCCTTTATTATCATTCCTCTGTTTCAGGCAATCCACATGGTTTTTCCATGCTACAAACTCCATTGCAGCAGCACAAGCACCAGAAGTGAAGAAAGAGACAACAGGTATGTCAAATTTCATGAAAATTTCCCTCCTCGCGCTATATTTGGTGTTTTTCCCTTCTGCCAGATTCATTCCGAAACTGATACTCAACCACTGTTAGCCAATAATTACAACATTAACAAGTATAATACAAATAGTTGATTTGCTTCCAAAAGAAAATCACATCCAATGAGAGACACACAAACAAAACAATTACAAATAACTCACTGATATATACTTAGATTGTTTATGGGAGCGATTAAAATTTCACAATAATAATATAACTTATTATATATCAATAAGCTGGGCACAGGGGCAGCAGGTAAGGCTCGTAAAAATGTCCTTGGCCTTATGCCCCCAATTTTAGGGCCCCCATTTTTTAGTTAATTAGGTAGGATTAAATTTTTAAAAAAATATTAGAACTAAGACAATAAATGCAAAGGCCCCATTTTTTAGTTAATTAGGAAAGATTAATTTTTTTTAAAAAAAATTGTTAGAGCTAAGTCAATAAATGTTAACGGCTAAATGAAGTGATGACTATGACTTTTTAACTTTCCAATAAAAAGTTGTGTACTTTTTTTAAATGTACAAGTTATCTCTTTTTTTTTTACCTTATTTTTTTTTCTAATTTTATTTTTATATATTTTATCTTCCTCCCTTCTATTTCTTCTCACTTTCTCTTTTCTAATCTTACATCTCTCTCTTATTCAAAGCTAAAAAAATTTACTTGTTCTATTGATAATTTATATTTTAAATTTGGAGAAAACTATAGTGCAGCAGCCCGATTCATTTTCGGAAATCAAGTCTTCATAGCTTTTGAATTTGGTAATATCATTCTAATTTCTAATATTATTTTTGTTTTGTGTCTTATGTTTATTATATTTTTTATTTGATATTGTAAATAGTGTTTAAAATATTTGTTAGATTTTAATATGTCAACTAGAAAATAGATTTGAACAATTTGAAGTATATGAAAATATTTTTGGTTTTCTATTTAGTGGGAAAAAATTGAGATCATTAGATGATGAGAATTTTAAAAAATATTGTCTTAATCTTGAATGTTCCTTAAAACATAATACTCACTCCGAAATTGAAGGTTTAGACTTATTTTCTGAATTAAAAGTGTTAAGGGAAATCATAAAAGTAGAAGACAATACTCTAATTGAGATACTCAATCAAATAAAAAGACTTGACTCTTTTCCAAATGCTTACATTGCTTATAGAATAATGTTAACAATTCTTGTAACAGTTGTCTTAGCCGAAAGAAGTTTTCAAAATTAAAAATAATAAAATCTTATTTAAGATCGACAATGTCTCAAGAAAGATTAAGTGGTTTGACTATATTATCGATTGAAAAAGAATTATTATAAGAGATTGCCTGCACAAAAATTATTAACAACTTTGCATCTCAAAAAACTAGAAAAATAGATTTAAAATAAAAACATTTATAATTTTTTTTAAGGCCTCTAGTTTGATTTTGGCCTTAGGCCACCAATGGGTTTGAGCCGCCCCTGGGCCTGGGCACAATAATAATATAACTTATTATATATCAATAAGCTGGGCGCTGTTCTAAGAAACTATTTTAGCGGTGTGGAATTAAACCAGCATTCCCTCTCAACAAATTAATTAACGTCAACAAGTTTTCAGCGGGGAAATAAGATACCAAAGCCAAAATAATTAAATAACTTACAAGGGAGGGACAGAACGTGAGAACACAAAAAATAGTGATAGCATTGCTTTCTGATGCCCAATTCATATTGAAATAAATATTTACTTATAGAAATTAGAAATGTGAGCAATTTTGTGCCAGTCTTCTCCTATTCCCTTCTCACACCGCTTTAACACTATTGGACATTCAGTAATTGTTAAAGCTGTGAGAGCTGTTAGGTGCTGCAATCCCTCCGGTAAACATTTTAGCATCTTGCAGAACTTGACAGATAACTTTGTGAGTGAAGTTAAGCCTTTCACTCCTTCCTCGGGGATACTCTCTAGTGCGTCACAATGGTCAATTGTCAGACTCTGCAAAGCATTGAGACTAGCCAGGCTGGTAGGCAGCTCTTTGAGATTCTTAAAGCAAGAGATTTCCAAGTATTTGAGATTTGCAAGGCTTTTGAACATCTCTTCTGGGAGTGAAGCAGCTTCATAGTTACTGCGAATGTAGAGGGAAGTAAGAGCCCTGAGATTAGATATGGAACTGAAACCTATTGCATCTGACTTCTCCCCATGAACTACCAATTTCTTGACAGAAGAAAGGGTCGGAATAACAAACACAGGGCACCACAGAATTATCATATCTTCAAGCACAGGGAATTGCTCTTCTCCTTCCTTTTTCAGCAATCCTTTCAGATTATCAAATTGGACTATCATAAGTTTTCTCAGAGATGGAAACCTTCTTCTTGTAGGGAATCCAGAATCAACATACTCCACCTCTGCAGACCCGTATAACTTTAGACTTTCTAGACAAGGCAGCTCACCAAAGGGTGGTAAGCAAGAGCAGTTTTTACAACCTCTAATTGTAATAGAGACAACATTTCTCAAAACTGAGTGATTCATCCACCCAGGGAAACGGAATCCTCTGAAGCCACTGATTGTTAAAGAAATCAGATTGGGGTGTGGTTTGAGGGCTTCAAGCACTTTGACTTCTTCTGATTCATATCTATATGGTTCATCCCAACTCATGCTTAAAGAATGCAGATTCTCTTTTGCAGATAAAGTGGCTTCTTTTGCATCTTTATCATTCTTCACTCTCTCAAGATGCAAGATTTTAATCGAGCCATAAAGATTTAGGCTTCCTAGTTCACCAAGTTGATAACCTTTCCTCTCGCCCACTACAAAGCAATCTAGAGTCTTAAGACATGTCAAAGATCCTATCCTTGGTGGCATAGATTTCAATAAATAGTAATCAAGTGAAAGATTTCGGAGACTAACAAGTTTACTTGTTTGTTTTGGCAAACAACAAAGTGACAGGCAATCGTTTAGATCAAGAGTCTGCAGATTTTGAAGCTTGCATAACTGCTCTGGAAGACTACGAATTCTACCATTGTCAGACAAGTCCAGGTATCTTAAATGTACTAGATCTCCAATGGAAGACGGTAACTGCTTAAGTTCTAATTTACTTAGATTAAGCACTCTTAACGAGATAAACTTTTTCAAGGGGGAAGGAGGGTAAGAAGACACCACTTGAGCAAAACCAATGGACATCTTATGTGAGTAACCTTTGGCATTTATTTCGCGGATATTGCTGCCTGATGTGCTAGCTGTAAACAGAGATGTAGCCATATCATGGATGAGATCATGCATACTGAAATAAGTTTTACCAGATCTAACTTCAATCTCTTGGAAGAAAGACCTCAAGTATAATTCATTCCATACTTCATTACCCACATCCTCTAGCTCCATGTTTCTTTTTGATAAAAGAAAACCATGTGCCATCCAGAAAGCAATTAGCTTTTCTTTTTTCATTTTGGTGTCCTTTGGGAACACCGCACAATACACAAAGCATTGTCTCAAATCAAGTGGAAGATGATGATAACTCAGTCTCAGGGCAGACAGAATAGATCTTTCATCTTGAGGTAAATTCCAAATCTCGCTATCTCTCACATGTTCCCATTCTCTTTCTTCTCTCTTGAAGCGCAAAATACCTCCAAGAGTGTTGGCTGCTAGAGGCACACCACCACATTTTTTCACAATCTCCTTTCCGATAGCCACAAGGTTAGGATTTATTTCTTCTTGGTATCCAAATGCACGTTGCATGAGCAACAACCAACAATCTTCTTGGGACAGATTTGACAATTCATATGGTTGCAGTGTTCCCATAATTGATGCAACCTTTTCGAGACGAGTAGTGGTTAGAACAGAAGCACCACTTGCTCCAACCTTCAAGACTGCTCTTAAATTATCCCACTTCTGTTGATCTTCATTCCAAACATCATCTAAGACAAGCAAGTATCTTTTTCCATTCAGCAACTATTGAAGCTTCTTTTGAAGTGGAGCCAAGTCCATGTCATTGAGTGACTTCCCTTCAATAGATTCTATGATTGCCTTTATCAACCTCTTCTCATCAAAATCATTGGAGACACAAATCCATATTTTGGGATATAAATGCTCAGTTACTGTCTGATCATTGAAGACCATTTGGGCAAGAGTCGTCTTTCCTAGTCCCCCCATACCAACTATTGGGAGGACTGAAAGTTCTTGAGCATCACTAACATTGTTTATCAGGATTTTCACTATCTCGTCCTTTTCTTTGTCCCTTCCACAAACTTGTGGTTCAGTTAAAACAGAACCTGGTCCAAGCAATGTCCACATGAGAATATTGTTACATTCAAGTTCATTAAGGATCAAATAGAGATTATTTTTACACAATAAAGAAAAATGGATGAGCTGAGGAGCAGGTTGAAAATCTTTGAAACTTCCCCTCACCCCAAAAATACACATAAATTTGATACAGAAAATGATCAAATATACCCATCCCATCGGAAATAGTTTATATATATCCATCATTATACTTTGTTCTAATCTCATTATACTGTCAATCCAAATATACCCCTCCTTTTATGTAAAGAAAAGAACTCAAAGCGGAAGTAATGGTTTGGGTATGAGTTAAACGGTAGGTTTCTAAAGAAATCTGGTATTTAAAATTGGGTTGGATAATTTGATTCTGAGCTAGCCAAAATTGATAAATTTGTGTCAAAGTATAATGAGAGGGATATATTTAGATCGAGAGTATAATGAGAGATATATTTAAACTATTTATGATAGTACATGAGTATATTTGATCCTTTTCCAAATTTGATAAATTCCAGAAGAAAAAGAATACAATCCAAGTTATTGTAATACTAATTTAGGATGAGTACCTGTTTCCCGTCTGACAACTTGTCTCTCTATAATCTTTTCGTGCAAATGAAAATTCTTTCTTTCCTCTGCAATTGCATTTAGTTTTTTCATCACTTGATCCATCCTTTTCCCGACCTTGTGACGGAAAGGGATAACCTTTGGATGATAACGGCCATATGCAGACTGAGAGAATCGTGTGGCCTTAGTTTTATATTCATCCAAGATGTCATCGACTTCATATGTAGCAGCATTGAGTTTTTGCAACCAATTTTCTAGTGGTTTGTCATTGAGTTGCTTCTCCTGAGCATCTTCAAGGACGGCTTGGATTGTAGAAAACATGCTTGAAAGCCTTTGGAATTCATTTTCAAAACCGAAAAGCAATACAATTTCCCCTTTGAGGAAAGAAGTAAGATTGTCTATCAGAACTTTAACTACAGCTTCAGCCATATGTTGAATTCACTATTATGAATATCAGATATGTGGAGGGAGTCTAGATTACTAGAATCGTAAACAAGGAATAGCTAGAGTGGGAATTGCAAACTATGAATCTGTAAATATAGGTGGTTGTTGGAATGAAATACAAAGCTTGACCTGAAATATATATATATATAGGTGGTTGTTCGAATACTCTTTTATATGATTTTTGAGAATCAAACTCTGTTTTTAATTCGATATCTGTTGGCACAAGTTTAATGGGTATGATTTTGAAACGAAGTACATATAATAAACGTTGGGCTGATGGGCTAGGCGTTGAGGTAGTTGGTGATACTTTGGTAGGGAACTTGCACACCTAATAATTATATAAAATTTGAAAACTGCGATACTTTTGATGTATTTTTGATGTTTATATTTTTTAAAAATAAAAGATTTAACTTGGTAATTTTGTGCATATTCATGGAAACTGCTAGCTAGTTTCATATATGTCTTTCTTATGGGGTTGGTTTGTCTTTCACCTCCAAACAAAAAAAACAAACAAACTTTGTTTTCATCTCTTAAGCTGTCAACTTGTTATCAACGAACAGATACCACAGAATATCCTCAAAACAAACAAGAAGAGGAGAGCTGTAAATAATTTTATTTTATTTTGGGGAAAAAAGGGTCTCATATACGTCTCAACTTTGGTTAAACAAATGGCTCACAAATACCCTTTTCTTTTACCGGAAGTGAAAAAAATATGTTTTTTTAAATTTTTAAAGAATCCATGAAGGGATATATTTGATCCTTCTCACATGTTTTTTATGTTTTTTTTTTAATTCAACAACTAATTTGAATTTATTATTTAATGGTCAAATTTATTTTTTCTTCAATTCTTTTCTTGTGAAGTATAGATGCCCTAATTTTTATTTTTTACAAAAATAAAAACTAAATTTCATATAGCCACAAAAAAAAATAGTTTAAATTTTTTCTCTACTTTTCCTATATTTTCCCCTTCGGGAACATTACGGGGTTAAACAAACATATACTAGTTAATTAACTAATATAACTATAGTTTACATTAATTATAATTCAAAACTTACTTCTAGCTATAATTACATTCTCTCTTTCACCTCTCTCCTCTCTTCCTCTCTCGCCTCTCTCTAGAATCTCGCTCGTCACTCTCCTCTTTTTCAGTCATCTCTCCCTGCCCAGTCTCTCTCTCACTTCTCTTCTGCCAATCTCTCTCTCACTTTATACAAACACAAATGTATAATTTGTGTTTGTGATTGTATAAAACAAGAGAGATAAGATATTAAAATACAAATATATATCTCTCCGCCCTATAGACTTATAATTATACAAATACAAATCTTCCCCTGCCAGTTCTCTTTTGCCTTTCTCTCTCCCGCTTTATACAAATACAAATTATACAATCTCTTTAGCAGTGATACTATGAGCTTTTGTGGTGACTTATGTCGCCGCTAAATGTCTAGTTCTTTTATAGTGAATCCTAATTGACGAGCATAGGTGGAGCCCAAAATGTAACGAAGGGTATAAGTGGTCTATTTCGCATAGTTCAGAGGCAATTTTGACCCTTTTCCATATATGATATGATATGATATATGATGATTTCTCTTATTTTTACACTAAAGAATGAAATAAAAAATGAAATAAAAAATAAGTAACTCAAATAAGAATATTTCACAATTTAGGTTCCCTATGTCATCATCATACCAAATGAAAATAAAAATTAATCATATCTTAATTTCAACTATAAAAACAGAAGATTATCTTAATATCAAAGAAGAATTTCAAATTCATGTAAAATTGTCATGCATCACATCTGTTGTTTGCTTCTTTTTGTTCTATATGGAGAGGCAAAGGCTATCCAATATGAAATTTTCCACATTATTTGCTTATGAATTGAATAAATGACTTCATTGAACTATATGGATAACCGTTCTGGAATATGGATCTTAACGCCATTCATCGTTCATCAATTCGTCAATTCCTTGAACTATGTCTTCTTTCTTCACCATCTCTCTGGGGTCATCACTAAGTAAAATCACGTGTCCCATTTTTAAGCAATTTGCTACCTCTTCCTCTGTAAAATTTGATTGACGATTCGACCTGACTTCATGATCATGTAGTATTGAAGTTGGTGATTTCCAAAATGTTTCGGGCAACAATATAATGGTCCTACACCCCATATTTGCTTTTCAATCTGATTAATTACATAATTGATGAATGGACTCTCAAGATCATAGCAGGTTTTGGTCAACAATGCAATAGAACCTTTTATCTCATTCAAAGTGATAATCAACCACTGTTAACCAATAATTACAACATTAACAAGTATAATACAAATGGATCTTACAATTCGTTGATTTCCCAAAAGAAAATCAGAAAATTACATAACTCTATTCTATATCCAGATACGGAATGTGTGCAATTTTGTGCCAGTCTTCTCGTATTCCCTTCTCACACCGCTTGAACACTATTGGACATTGAGTTATTGTTAAAGTTGTGAGGGCTGTTAGGTGCTGCAATCCCTCCGGTAAACATTTTAGCATCTGGCAGTACTGGAGAGATAACTCGGTGAGTGAAGTTAAACCTTTCACCCCTTCCTCTGGGAGACTCTCTAGTGCGTCACAAAATTCAAATTGGAGACTCTTCAAAGCATTGAGACTAGCCAGGCTGCTAGGCAGTTCTTTAAGATTGTAGAACTCAGAGATTTTCAAGTATTGGAGATTTACAAGGCTTTTGAACATCTCTTCTGGTAGTGAAATAGCTTCTAAGTTATACCTAATGCCAAGGGATGTAAGAGCCCTAAGATTAGATATGGACCTCAAAACTGTTGCATCTGTCACATAAACATTCAATTTCTTGACAGAAGGGAGGGTCGGAATAATCAACACAGGGCACCAGTTAATCATTATCTTTTCAAGCACAGGGAATTGCTCTTCTCCTTCATTTTTCAGCAATCCTTTCAGATTATCAAAGCCCCATATAACAAGTTTCCTCAAGGATGGTAACCTTCCAGGATGAGCATCCTCTTCAACATACTCCACCTCCGCAGACCCCGTGTATAACTCTGGACTTTCTAGACAAGGCAGCTCACCAAAGGGTAATAAGGACGAGCAATTTTCACTACCTCTAATTGTAATAGAGACAACTTTTTTCAAAACTGATTGATTCATCCAGTCTGGGAGACGGATTCCTCCGAAGCCAATGATTTCTAAATATTTCAGATTGGGGTGTGATTTGAGGGCTTCAAGAACTTCTGATTCATATCTATGTGTTCCATCAAAATCCCAACTCAGTCTTAAAGAGTGCAGATTTGCTTTAGCAGATAAATTAGCTTCTTTTGCATCCCTTTCTTTCTTCACTCTCTCAAGTTTTATGATTGAAATTGAGCCATAGAGATTTAGGTTTTTTAGTTCACCAAGTTGATAACCTTTTCTCTTGCCAATAACAAAGCAATTTAGAGACTTAAGGCATGTCAACAATCCTACCCTTGGTGGCATTGACCTCAATGAACAGCCATCAAGTAAAAGATTTCGGAGACTACCAAGTTTACTTGTTTGTTTTGGCAGACAACAAAAGTTTCCGGTAGCCATGTA